TTATTAGCTATCGCTTCCTTCCGCTAGTCTACAGCCCAGAAATCTGAAGGACCTTTAAATCACCCTCTACTGAGAGCTGAGTCCCTTTCATGACACAGTACAAGGGATAAACTGTGTGCACTTAAACACACATCACTTCTTCATTATGCTTTAAGTCTCCGCTCTAAAGCGAACAGGTACAAAACGTGCTTAAATCGAGTTCTCAGAAGATTTTCTAAAATTAGCAAAATAATGCTGCAAACAACAACACTAAAAGCCTAAAATTTAAGTGTCTGGCATTTGGAAAAAAAGAGAAAAAAAGATTCTAGTAACACAAAATGCATCACCACTTTTTATACTAGCCCTGTTATTTTAAAATAGCGCATTGCCAGAAGTCTTCTTTTTTTCTTTATTTTTTTTATTATTTTCTTCCTAAATTATAGAATTTCATGAAAAATTTTTCATAAAAATAATTGGTTTCATTTCAGCCTGTTCCTATCTTCCGCTTAAAGTACTCAGGAATGCTTCATTCCACTGTGCTACAATCACCTTCCACAACAGCTCAAGGCACAGCTCTAAACAAATTATACAGCTTAAAGGGTAAAAAAATCCCTTCATTAACCAACAAATCTCATCATAAAGAAAACACAGGGAACAAGAGAGATGTAAATAACTACTCAGCTGAAGAAATCCAAACCACCACATTTCTAAAAGGCTGCATAGCAGCAGTTCTCTTTAGAGTTTTTTTCTTTTGACTTTCTTTTTCTTGTCCTTCTCAAAACTAACAACCTCCCTTCCAGCTGCAAACATAAAAAATGCATTTTACAATGTCCTGTTCACATGTCAATAAATACCCATTTTGTTTTGATAGTCTTTATCCCATGAATGGCTCCAAAATACGTAACTAGCAGGCAGTGCCACAGTGAACTATATTATATATATTATATATAATATATACCCTGATGGAACCCTATTCCATCAGGGTAGAACAGTTACCATTGATTGTACTTGAGGTCTACCTTCTTAAGAACAGGATTTTGGAGGTGCCTCCCAGTAAAATTTTCCCCTTCCTTAACTGTGGAAATTTATAAGCACAGACTCCTAAATGCACCTCCAAATCTCTGTTAAAGCAATGAAAAAATCAGTCACCCTGCTGGCATCAGTTTCATCTGGGAGAGCTCACAAGACCACAAATCTGTGGTTTGTTAGATTATTATTCTTGTCTTATACATAACATATTCAGGGGTGAAACTAATAAAGGCTTTTTTACCTTTTACATAATTTAAAAATAAAGCAAATGAAACAAAAAGTACATGCTACATACAGACCAAATTCAACTCTCCATGGCCCTGGTACAGACACAAAGCAGATCTGCTGCCCTGAGTGGATTTACATAATTCTGGAACCAGAGTAGAATATGGTTATTATGTAAAAAGCTTTTGCTACTTCACAGATGACAAAACACAACCATGACATTTTCCTGACAGGACAATTTCCTACCAGTGCTTGTCAGCACGCCTTTTATTTATGTCTAGGATGATAAGTAAAACTGGTTTTGACTGGTCATATGATGTTAAGAGTTACATGTGTTTAAATCTTCCTTCCTGGTAAGCTGAAAATTGCTGAACTTTAATGCATAGCAAAACAGACCGCCTATTTCTGCGCCTCACATGCAGCTTTTCCTTTCTAGGGAAAGAAAGTGCTGTTCAGCACTAAAACATTTCTCTGTGTCCTCACCATTGCTGGGATGTAACAGAGGGCAGAAATGAGAATTGGATGACAACAGCAGTAAACTAAAAAAGAGAGGATGAGACAGAAGTGGCCTTAGGCAGAAGAGCTTTCTCACACTGTGACCCAGGCCCCTCTGTGGAGCCAATGGAGCTCATTTGAGGAAGATTTTGAACATTTAGCTGGATTTGTTGCTCTCTTGAAGATAATTTCATAGACCTCTTTTTACAAAACATTACTTCTGTCATCTCTCTGGAGCTTTTGTCCAGAAAAAGGTTTTCCTTATTTCTTGGGCTAAAAGCAGAATAGGTCAATTCTTCGTGAAGCAGTCTAAGATGTCATTTCCTAGAACAAGAGCAATCATGATTTTCTCACACAGATTAACCAGAAATTATTTGCTGTTGGATCCTCCAATGGATTAACTCCATTTTGCCTTACCCATAATGCAGTTCAATATATTTATCTTGCCAGGAAATACACTTTTGTCTAACCAGAAATTTACTGCCGTATGCTCATGTTGTTAACGATCAATAAACTTTATCATGCCAATGACTCGATCCCAGATGCTTATCCTATCAGGAATTCATTCCTCTAAACTACTGTTTTCTACAAATCTATAATTAACCTAAAAGCCAGAAAGCTTTTCTGTATTGCCAATATTTGTAGAGTACAGGTCCTTTCATATTTACTTTGGTGGAAACAGAGAAAACTGCGGAAGAAAACAGATCTAATTATGTAAACACGACACAAATAAGCTTGAGGTGCAATCTATGTATAGTACAACCATGAGAACTTTTTTTCCTGCACAGCCAAGTCCATCAATGAGTTTCCCAGCAAGAGCAACATTTCTGACAACTTCTGCCAATTCTACCCCATCTCTTTCAAGTACAAAACAACGTGTTTACCAATTCTTCCAAGAATTAATTTACTATGTTTGCCAATATCTCACAACTACAAGATTTAGGGTCTGCCAGGAATTTACTTCATAAAATCATCTTGCCAGGACGAGATATTGCAGATTTACATATCTTCAGACAAGCAGGATTCTGTATGCTCCAGTGACTAAGAGAATGCATTTTTACACGTATACATTATGCACTTAGCACCGACCCTTTACTAGCCAATGACACTTTGTCAGGAGAGTTTTATATCTGCTCACATTCAGTTGTTAGGCCAGTAAAACTTTGTTTGGCTTGAAACTGTTATTTGTTATATGTTATTTGTTAAATAAAATGTGTTATTTGTTAAATCTCGAATTGTCTGGTAACTGCAAGTTTCTGATTTAAGTAACTCCAGACACCCACTTCATCTTGCACCAGACTGTCCATGAGTGACATTAGTACTAGACCTGAAGAACAGCACCTAAAAATCATTGTTTAATGAACAGATCAATTCTATACTTACTGTTTTTTTTTCATCTTACAACATGAGTGCAAAATACCTGTTGGTCTGCACAAGCACATAACTGATTCCTTACAGGCTGGTCCTGAATAAGTGGGGTAAGTTCATGCCTGACAACTTCTTGCAGAAATGCACTCTAATTTGGCCAAAATGATTAATGCAATTGCTCTCAGAGGCAATGTTCTGGAAGAATAAACTCAACATGACACAGAGGCTGGTTTCCTGTGCCTACAGTAGTGTGATTGCAACCCTTTTATATGTGCCCAAGCTAGTGATGCTACAGCTGACATGAATATCAATAACCACAAAGTGTTGCAAACAGGGAGTTCTTCAAGGTCTATGCCCATGCAGAGGTTTTCCTTTCATAGCCACAGTGATAAGAAATGAGGGAGTTGCTCTAAGTAGACCTACAAGTATATTTACACCATCTCCAGGTTCAAAAATACAGCCATATATATCTCAGGTAACCAAACTCTCACAGCACGTTCAAGATAAAGTCACAAAAACCAAATATATCTAAGTCAAGCTTTCTACAGAGTACTTTGTTGAAATCTGTGTTTGTGACTTTTTCTTTCAAAAAATTGCAGTTTTGTAACTCTTTGGAGGGAACATATGCAGATAGATTGAGGCTATCTGGCAGCCATGAATTATAGGTACTTTCAGTATACGAAATTATTATGAGAGTAACTTGCAGTAAAATACAAAAAGGCTGCAATAGCTATGTAGCACAGCCCTTCTAAATTTTACATTAATTTACACATCACAGAAGAGACAAATTTTCCATCTTCAAAAAGATTTTTTTTTTATTTTCTTGTAAAAAAAATTTATTTTTATATTCAGAAAATTGGAGAAGGCTTTTCTCAGTAAGCACTGAGGGACTGGGTTGCCTTGTGCATGTGAGTTTTTGATGTGGCTTTTTTGGGGGTTTTGGGTTGGTTGGTTTGTTTGCTTGGGAGTTGTTTGTTTAAATAAATGCTAAAATTTTTAGCTGAGAAGCACTGGCCACACTGTAATGCAATTCAACCACTTTCTTGAAGAGCAGGGAGCTATTGCCCCTGGAACCCTCTGCTGTTACCTTTAAGGGGAGAGGACTCTGATTGCTTCTGACACATACTCTGATTCCTTAAAATATTCTTCCTGCCCCACCATCCTGCCTGAATTTGTGACAGAGCTGAAAGCAGCAGATAAGCCACTTGTCTGTAAATGCAGCACATGGGTTTACACGAGTCCATCAGGGAATGCTGCAGTAAATTCACCTCAATCCTTCCATTTCTTCAGTCTTAGTCTTCAGTTTTCATCTCTAACCAAACCGCAGCTTTTCCTAACCTTAGCTCAACTATCACAAGTGCTCAAATCTTTGTCCTGACCACGCAAAAGGATAAAATAGAAACTTTACTGTTGGGTTTTTCCTTACAATACACTCATTATCTTCAGTTTTTAAATTACTTGATTATTGATATAATTAGAAACGTCAAGAGAATTGTTGCATTGGAATGAATTCATAGGCTTTGTAAAAACAAGTAGTTATAATCTGCAGCCTCAACAATGATTTTTATACCAGAATGCATCCAACATACACCAAGGTAATAAATACTCAGTGACCACAAGTAAGAAGAGTAGCTCCTACTAAAGATATATTTGTCTATAGCTAGTTTGGGATGATTTCCAGAATACCACTCAGTCTGTCCTGCCAAAAAAAGGAATTTTACTTAAAAATTTTCTTTTCCTAAATTTTTTATATCATGGTATACTTAAATACAGATGAAAAGCAGGTTGACAGCACAAGCCTTTAAGAACAAAATGTTTGCTCATCTGCTGACAACATGATACTGTTTCATAGTAAATAATCATTAAGTAATAATCATAATTAGTATATAAAATAAATTATTTACCTTGTGTGGACTGGTCAATGGCTTTTCTTTTTCTGCTATGACTGTTATAATTAAGTCTTAGCTCTTGGCTGTATTCATTCAGAGTTTCTCTTGAGTCATAAGATTGCCTTTGCTTTCCCCCATCTTCACTTTCATCTGAAGAACTCGTGTAAGTTAGATCCACTTCATGTTTAACTTTTGACAGTGGCTGGTAGGGTTTGCAGTCCATCTGCTCCATCTCTGATTAAACAGGCTCAAAGTCATGAAAACAAGCAACTGGAACGCCTTAAGGAAACAGTCCTGGAAAAAACAAACCAAAAACAATAATCTATTTCAGACATGATATAGAAATGTAGCTCACAAAGGCCAAATTTTATTTTTAGTTTATATAAACCAATTAAATTGTATTACTATCACTATAATTCA